TAAAAGTGGTGATGGCTAGAAATGGTGCAAACCTATTAGACCCAAGGGATTGAATAGTCCGAGTGAAAGTGGTTTTGAGAGAACCACTTGACAACCAAAATCCTTTGACCTAAAAAATTCTACAATTCTTTTTGGGCTCTGAAAGAAATGTGCATTTGAGAGGCATGTTTCATGGATGCCCTGAAAATAGGAAGGACTCTGGGGAAAAAGATACATGGGTTAGTCCCTCTAAAGCAACTTGGTGACTTGCCCCATCCAAGTCCACAAAGAGGGTCCTATAGTGGATGGAAACTATAGAAGACTCTTTGAAGATGATATTTGGGTTTTTTTTTTGACTCCCATTAAATGAATTGTTTCTCACTATGCCTACATTTTCTGATGAGTAGAAAGATTTTTAGTGTGTAAATGCTACATATAAGCATCATTACATATAATACACCACTCACTTATATCAAAGACTAATGCTATTGAGATATAATTGAGTGACATAATTTAGGTAGGTTCTATAGAATTATTCCCAGGTACATTAAGGAGTGAAAAACAAACAAAATTGCTTGAAGTATTTCAAGTATACCACGTGATTCTCAGTAAAAAGAAAAAGAAAAAGAAAAAGAAAAAACTATTTGACCCAAATAAGTCGAACACATCAAATTAGTTAAAATTAATCAAATTAACCCCCAATTTTCTCGTTCTACCCTCCTTTCACCTAATTCATGCATGTATGATACATAAAAAACAACCAATCTAACATCAAAGCATCAAGCAAAAATGTCTAACATTGAGCGTTCTATAGAACAATAAAACATCGTTTTAGCAACCAATCAAACCAAGACTTTTTCCATTAACCCCAAGCATTGCACAACCAAAACACATGAAAACAAATAAATTTTCCCAAAACCAAACAAAACCTAGAGATTGGGACAATATTTCTCTTAAGCATTTCAACAAACGCGTCATGTGCGATTATTTTTTCTAGAAATAATGTTTAGTTTTTATTGAAGCTATTTTTGAAGACAAATGGATACTCAATTTTTGTTCACTTCAATTGTAATTCTAAAAGCAAAAAGCACTAGAGTTCTCGTCAGGAAATTATTGTCCATCGAGAATACATATCGTCCAAAGGTCTCTCTTGCATCTTATAACGATAATTCTAAAAGTAATTAATAATTCAATATTTTTAAACCTTAAAAGTAGGCAATACATAAATTAAAACACAAGAAGTCGGTGCATTTTTGAATAAAATAAGACTATTGTTATAGCCCTAATACCATAGGTGCCAATATTTTTCAAAAGAAAGATAAAATTGGAACAAAGTATAATATTTATGAAGTTTAGGACTTCATTGACATAAAATATTGGTAGTTTTCCCTTCTTTCTTTGTCTTATATGCTTTACTCTAATTTTTTCCTCTCCCTCCCTCTCCATACATACATTTATACATACACATTTAAACATGTATAGTTACATTATGATTAGTTGATGTAGCAGTGAAATGTGTGAGGTGTTTTTGACGGTAAATAGTTTGGTGAATTTGTAGATACAAGAACTGCTCGAGGTATTAAAGGTGCCATGTCCCTGGCGCAGGTTTGTTTACTTTCTCCAATATGTTTGCGAAAGAAGTTATTTGGTAGCTTGGTTATTAGTCTTAGGAGAATGGAGATCAAAATATTTAGAAGCGTGAACAGTTGTCTGCTGTTTCTTAGGTCTGCAATACATAGCTAAATCTGATTTATATGCAATTGCAGTGCCTTTTAACTAGGAATTGATGCCTCCCCCAAACATCCCTTGCCCCCAGCCCAGGCAAAACAACTTACACAAAAAAGAAGTAAATTCACCCAAGTAGGTAGCTTGCCAAATTCTTCCACGTCACCATATCTCGTATGATGACTTAGAAAATTGCTAGAATCTACTCTGAAAGCTTCTCATTCTTGATCGTTCGATCATGTAGGGGTAGTGTATTGGCAACCACCCAATTGTGCGCTGGAAAAGGTGAACGAAATTGTATGGGATCCTTCAATAAGAGTTATGGTGCTGATGAAGGTCTACTTGAGCTCCGGGAGGCATTGATTGGAAAGGTACGGTTAATTGTTTCAACTTGTTACAGTTGATGACTTATTTTGTGGAATAGTTTGTTTTTGTAGAATATTGATATGATATCTTTAAAGAGTCGGATAATTAGACCTACCCAAGGTAGATTTACATACTTGAGTGACACTTTACTCATTGCCAATTGATTTTGGATTTAATACCCTAATATGGTATCAGAGTTGAGCCTTGAGTGGTCAAAGTACTAAGTCTTTTACCCATTTGAATTTTTCAATATGCTTGATTGTTTGTTTGTTTATGAAACCCCCGCGCGGCAAAGGTAGATGGATATTAACTTTAAGTGAGATAGTAAAAAAAAAATATGATAAAGTGTGATTTAACAAAGAATGTGTCCTTTAATAGGTCACAATGTTGGAGTAGGGTTCATATGAGTCATATTATTGATCCCAGAATGATTGAGACAAGGCTTAATTGAGTTGCGTTGATTTGAGTTTATTCTTGATAGGATCTGGCCGTCCAACCTCATCAGAATATGAAATATGTAATACTTTCTCCTTGCAAACAATTTGTTTTTCTGCTTTTTCTTTGTTTTTTCAGTTGCGTGAAGAGAATTAGGTTTACAATTCATCCGTGATGGTTACTGCATGTACAAATCAAGTAATTAGGCTGCTCTCTAGATTGTTCCTTTCACATGAGTAGTAGATGAAGAAAAGCTTGGTTATGGGAACAGTACTGAAGTTGGGTGGGAAGCTTAAGATTTGCTCTAAGCATCTAGTTGGAAAAATGTTGAGCGAAAAACCCATCCGAGTCTACGTGTTACCTTGTCCTTTGCAACAATTTGATTAGTACATCCCCTACACGCAAACACATTTATGTTTATATGTAGGCATGTACATGAATATGTGTGAATTCATTCTACATACCAAAATAGTGTGTACAGTTGATTGTTTTAGATATTACAATCATGATTATTAAACCCAACTTGGCCATCAACTGGGTAAAAGGATGGCATTAATAGATCATTGCTCCAACGGTTGAGGCAAATAATCGAATCCTTATAATGCCTCCGGGACAATTTATACATAGAGGTGAATGTCAAGTCTTAAATTTTGTTCTTGCCACTGGATTTATGAAACATTAGTTCCACTAGTTGGCTCACCTAATTGGTGGGTACGTTGTAAAAAAAATGTTTTAATGTTAACCCACTCCGATATATGCACCGAGTCTCCGAGTTTACCCATCTCGCATGGGCCAAGTTTAATAATACTCACAGTCATAATTATTGGATATAGGATTTTCGGAATCCTATATCTAAAATCCAACGCAATCATGTTCGTGTCATGTAAACAGCATGTGCAATTAAGATGAGGAATCTGTGTGTGTGTGGATCCTCGCTAACATGTGTCCCTTGTATAATTGTCATGGCATGAGGAATGGGATTGGTGGGCTTGCGTGACCCATTGTTTCTTTGTGCTCTTGTTTTCATTATGTTGAAACAACTACATCCACAAAACAAGGGCAGCACCAATATGAAACTAGAGCATTCTAACTTCTTGTTTATATATGGATACGTATAGCCATGTCATGATATCGTGCTTTGATTAGTTTGATATACACTGTTATTTTTTAGTGGTAATTTGATTTCTAAATTTGTTAGATCATATTTCAAAGATTTTAATTTGAATATATTAATGTTAGATCCGATTCTATTTCAATCTAAATTGTATAAATATATGATGAAATTAAGTTCAAAATTTAAATATACTTTGTTAAAATTTATTTTGGTGGAGTTAAATTTGGATCGGACCATACTATTCAGATATGAAGTGCACAAATTAAGTTCATTGAATAATCTAATTACATTGAATCAGAATTATTAAAATGAATTTAAATATCAGAATTTTAATCAATCAAAATTTGATCCAAATCCACACTGTGGGCTGAACTGTATCAATAGAGGACTTTGCAAGGTTTCCTATCCAAGACAAGTGACCCATAAGGTGCTGTTTAGAGACAACCCCTTGACATGCTGTTGTATTAATGGTAAGGATTAGGGAGCCCACTTGTTTCCGGTGGGACAAGAAACACAAATCTAACTGTAAAGAGTAATATTATTGGCATATAATTTATTGACTTAATTCATTGTGATATTTGAATTCACTATAAATTCTATCAAATATTAAAATTTGGTGTTGATATAATAGTTGTTATGAAATCACATCATCACTGCAAAAAGGTAAAGGTATGCAAAAGAGTATCTTGAACATCTAGACAAGTTGAGAGAGGGTGGGGGAATGCTGTTTTGTTGTGAGGAGAGATAAGGGCCGAGTAGAGAGAGGGTGATATAGATGTTCTTCTACTTGAGGACAAGACAAGGGCACATGGAGAGAGAGAGAGAGAGAGAGAGAGAGAGACTCCTCTTTCATGGAACCTCGGCTTGGTTTTGTGAGGTTGAGATGCCTTTACTTTCTTCAGTTTATATTGTTTGTAGAGGACGAGATGGTCCTTTCAATCTTTGTTCTTTCTCTTGTCGAATACAAATCACCCCCTCTCATTCTTGTCCCCTTCCCTCCTCAATAGCATTCAAAAATTACATCAACAAGAAACTATTCTGTATGTATTTTGGTAATAAAAATGGTCTCACTATAGGTACAGCATAAATATCATAAAGGCATATTTATGTATATTGGTGTATCTACAATTTATAGGGTCAAAGAGACTTAAATTTAAGATATACGAGTTTATATTTTCTATTTTGTTCGACTATTGAACCAAATCGTACGGGATTTACCAACAAAACCAACTATCACCCACCTTGTCTCCATCTCCTCAATCATCTCTATATATACATTACACAAACCATCACGTTCACCTCATCATATCTTCTCATACTTTTCCTCACAAGTAGTCCAACTGCTCTTACTACTCCTACAACAAGCTCCTTCAAACTCTTCTCTCTCTCTCTCTCTCCCTCCCTCATAGGATTCACTATGCCTTCTAGGATTTCAGATGCCGTCCGAGACCATTCTCTCCTCGTTGACCACAAACACTTGGACTTAAACTTAGTAAACGAACTACCAGATTCCCATGCATGGACACCTCTTAATGATAACCCTTCCGGTGACTCTTGTACCAGAGAGTCTGTACCAATTATTGATCTTAATGACCCAAATGCCCAAAACCTCATAGGCCATGCATGCAAAACTTGGGGTGTGTTTCAAGTCACAAAACATGGCATCCCCATAAACCTTCTCAATGACATTGAGTCTGCTGGAATGAGCCTTTTCTCTCTCCCCATCCAACAAAAGCTTAAAGCTGCTCGATCACCAGAGGGTGTCTCCGGCTACGGCGTGGCCCGAATTTCTTCTTTCTTCCCCAAGCGCATGTGGTCTGAAGGGTTCACCATCGTTGGATCACCACTTGAACACGCTCGCCAACTTTGGCCCCAAGATTACACTAAATTCTGGTATCCTCAAATCCCCATCCACGTTAATGAATTGATTTCTAGCTACTGCTTTGCAAATGTGTATACATGTGTTGTGTGAAAATATACTTCTTAACTCTTAATTTGGTTGGTGTTAACGGTGCTAATTCTGAGAGAAAAATAGTCCCGATGTTAACAACACTAAATTTAAGAGAAAACATGATTTCGACACTCGTTCTCAAAAGAAAACAGGATTTTAGTGTCACCAATAGTTACTGCAATAAGCATAAGTTACAGAGTAACTCTTTTGAAAGAAGATTAATGGTCCCACAAAAAGACATGGGGAGATAGCTTTTGAGAAAATCAAATCCACTTATTGCTGTTCACTTTGTTCTATATCCATAGTTATGGCATCTTTTTATCTCATAACACAGTTATGCAAAGGCATCTCTTTGTCTCATAAAGCAATCTTATTCATCTTTCACTGTTCGATATGCAGTGATTTAATAGAAGAATATGAGAAAGAGATGAAAAAGCTAGCTGGGAAGTTGATGTGGCTAATGCTAGGGTCACTCTCACTGGGCATCACCAAGGAAGATGTCAAATGGGCTGGCCCGAAAGGAGATTTCAAAGGAGCCGGTGCTGTTTTACAGTTGAATTATTACCCTACTTGTTCGGATCCAAACCGGGCCATGGGCCTTCCCGCTCATACCGATTCCACGCTTCTCACCATCCTTCAACAAAGCAACATAAGCGGTTTACAAGTCCTTCGGGAGGGAATTGGGTGGGTCACGGTTCCTCCGGTCCACGGTGCCCTGGTGGTCAATGTAGGGGACCTACTCCACATACTATCCAATGGGTCGTACCCGAATGTCACCCATCGAGCTGTGGTTAACCGGACCCAACACCGTTTATCCATAGCCTTTCTCTATGGGCCGCCATCGAGTGTTCAAATCTCACCGCTCTCGAAACTAGTAGACCATGGCCATCTTCCTCTCTACCGGCCGGTCACTTGGAGTGAGTATCTAGGCACCAAGGCTAAGCTCTTCAATAAGGCCCTCTCATCGATCCGACTTTGTGATTCTCTAAATGGATTTTCTAATGAAAATGATCATAATAGTGTGAAAATTGGCTAGAAGGAATATAATGTAAATATTCTCAATATCATTTAATTTTCAGTTGTTTATGGTTCTATTTGCTAGCCATTTTTGGAGCCTCTTACTTCTTGGAGGTTTATGAAGGATAGGGAACGACAGAGGCAAGCATAAGGTTAATTAATTATAAATTTTCCATGAAAAGGCCATGCAGGATGGGTTATATAAAATCAGATATAGGAATGGATACAAAAACTTTTGTCATTTTTTTATTGGTGCAAAAGGAGAGAGAGAGATAGAGAGAGAGAAGCCAATTGATCAAGTAAACGACAGACGAACAGACATCATTTTGCCTCGGATATGAAGGAAGATCCCCACCAAAGAATAAGACAGTGATCAAGATGGAAATGGTTAAATCGTTGGATCAAAACTTGGAAAAATGATCTGGGGAAAAGAGCTCTATCAACAATTCTTTGCAAAATGATAACAAGTAAAACAGGCCCACCAAATAAAAAAGGATAATGAGTTGAAGAAGAGCGAGGGGGCATTGTTGTCAGTTTCCATCTGAATCTCTCTTCCTCTCTCTCCATGATTGAAATGGGTGTTTTTTGGCATTATTGTAAAGACACTACTAGGTGACAGTCCTTTCAAAGCTCAGAAAAGCCTAGTGCATCGAAGATGTATTACCTCTGCAACCATGTGCTCCTGGCAATGGGTAGCAACCCCAGAACCCTGCCTTAACGGGGAAGAGGCAGTTTATGCTGTTTTATATGTTTGTTTTCATCTTTCTCATAAGTACTAGGTAAGTTGCTTTGTAGGAAGCCAAACGAAAATCTATAATTTCACACATTACAGAAAAATATAAGCAATGCTATTTCCAAGTAATATGAAGAAGAGGATTTAATCTTAATGATTGTGATTAGAGGTGGTAATCTTAATGATTGTAAATTTGTGATCAAAATATTGAGTTATTGATCTCTTTGAATAAACTAAGTGAGATACATACATATTTGGGTAAGTATTTTTAAAAATTAGAGGTTAATAATAATTTTTTAAAAAACTATAGAGAAAATAATAAACAAATTTAAAATTTGAGGGGAGCCATGACCCTCAGGCCTCCTCATAATTTCGTCTCTCTGTTTATAACCAAGGCACTGGCTGACTGAAATGTTTTTTCTTTTCATTCAGCTGCCCCTTATGGACTACGAATTGTTGGTACTTGGTACAATAAAATAATCAAATGATTTGCCAGAAATGATTGTTGTTTGTGGTATTTCAAATATATTAAAATTACTAATTTGAAATATGTAATTTAAAACAAAACAATAACAGTGAAGAACGAAACATTAACATCATGTTGTAAATTTAGTTTCTATTTGTGGATTCCAAGTGCGTTGGATGTAAAAATAAGTTCCGATAGTTCTAGCGCAATATCATGGAATTCCAACAATTCAAAATGCCTTTATAATATCAACAAGGGGTATACCATCCACGGCCGAGTGCAAGTTATAAGATTTTATTTATGTTAGAGCAACTCCAAAGAGACTATGTAAACTAACTAGTAAAAATATATTTTTTTATTACGCTATATATTTTAAAGAACAACTCCTACTAATTCATTCCAAAAATACTCTATTTTAATTAACTATTTCAACTAACTTTAACTAATTATTAATTATTAAAATCTAAAATAATATATAGCATGCCACATCATCGTCATATCGATGACATCACATGATAACGTGTTACGCCACATTTTCAAAATTTCAAATTTTAGACTTTTATTAATATTTAACAAAATGCCAATGCCACAAATATTTAACAACCCAAAATGCCAGTACCACAAATATTTAACAACCCAAAATGCTAGAAGTATTTAACAAAATGTCAATATCACAAATATTTAACAATCCAAAATGTCAGCACCACAAATATTTAACAATCCAAAATGTCAATACCACAAATATTTAACAATAACAATCCAAAATGCCAATGCCACAATATTTAACAACCCAAAATGCCAACAGAAAAAAGGGATAAACATGCTTAATCCACCTGTGATAGTGTCTGTAACTTATCTTTTTATTTTCATTATTAATAAATCTATTATTTCTTATCAAAAAGAAAAAAAGAAGCAACATTACAGTTTGAATTAAAATTTGAAATTTACAAAAAAAAAAAAAAAGTTTTGGAATAAACACAAGAGAAGAGATTGAACAATAATACCTCAATTCAGCCTCCAAAATTCGTGTCGTAATAGAACAGAGCAAAGCAAAGGGATTTTGTGGGTTTTTCAATGAATTTTTTTGGGTTTTTTCTTGGTTTTTGGGTGGGTTTTTTGGGGGGTTTTTAGTGAGAGAGAGAGAGAGAGATGGGGGTTCAATAGATTTTTGAGTAAAATTTTGTTGGTTTTCAGTGAGATTTTTGGATTTTTTGGTGAGTTTTTTGATGAGATTTTTGAGAGTTTTTGTTGGATTTATTTTTTTGGGTTTTCCAGTGGGAACCAAGAGAGAGAGGTTGGACCGAAGATGGAGAAAGAGAGAGACAGAGAGATATATATAGAGAGAAGAGAGCATACCTTCGGTGCTTGATGAAAACGATGACTATGATGAAGACAACCAAGAAATACCTTCCAGTCCTATGGAGTGAAACTTCACGCAAAACCTAGTGACCCCTTTTGCCTCGCCAGAAATAGCTAGCAAAATGATGTTACGGGAAATAGTTAGGGAAAATAACTCATCTGTTGGAGGCGGAATTTAGGAAGAAACTATGTAAACTAGCTAAGAATGGGCATTTGAGGAGCCCATTGGAGTTGCTCTTATGTTGTTGGGATTTAATACGCTTTAAACCCATAGACAAACACACACAATCGAAGAACAAATTAAAAACATAAAGTAATAAGAAATAAAAAAGAACAAGACATACAAATTTTACGTGGTTCGGCAATTTGCTTTATGTCTACAAAGTTTCAGGGATTTCACTATTGAGAGAAAGGATTACAGAGAGCGGTTATACACTTCGATCAAACCCTAATCACCAAAGTAGTGCTTTTTTATATGTCCTACGCATCGGGCTATAAAATAGGCCCAAAAAATTAGACTCCACGGTGTTGCCCCCGAACCCCCATGAGGCTTGTCCATGAGCGTCAATCCTCCTAAAAACAATCTATCATCCTTGCAACTCATTCTCTTGTCCTCAAGCTGAGAAACTCACAAAAGCTAAACAAGACTTCAGCTTCTCCACATTAACCACTTTCGTGAATATGTCTGCCAGATTATCCCTTGTGTGAATCTTCTCCAAAGTGAACTGCCCATCCTCCAACAAAGAGCGAATAAAGTGATACTTTAAGTCGATATGCTTGGTTCTCGAGTGAAAGGCTGCATTTTTCGCCAGATGTATCGCATTCTGACTATCTCTAAACAATTTAGAATTTTTTTGCTCCTTACTCAACTCTTTCATGAAACTCCTCAGTCATACCATCTCCTTGCATGCCTCCGTGGCTGCAACATACTCCGCCTCTGTTGTTGAAATAGTCACTATTTTCTATAGCCTTGAGACCCAACTGACTGCTGCACTGCCTAATGTAAAAACATACCTTGTAGTGCTCTTTTTGCTGTCAATGTCTTCTGCTAAATCAGAATCTACAAACCCTTGCAAACAAACATCAGAACCTCCAAAATTCAAAGTCAAATATGTAGTACCTCTCAAGTAGCGCAGAATCCACTTAACTGCTTCTCAATGCTCCTTGCCCAGATTTGCCATAAATCTGCTGACAACTCTCACTTCATGAACAATATCTGACCATGTATTAACCTTGGCATACATCAAACTACCTACCGCCGAGGCATATGGAACCTTTGACATATAGTTTTGTTCTTCATATGTTACTGCACACTTTTCCTTCGAAAACTTGAAGTGACTTGCTAAAGGTGTGCTAACTGGCTTAGCACTCTGCATGTTGAACCTTTTCAGCACCTTTTCAACATATACCTCCTGTAACAACTTCAACTTCATATTTACCTTGTCCCTACTAATTCACATCCCAAGAATTTTCTTCGCAGAGCCCAAATCCTTCATTGCAAACTCCTTTGACAGTTGTGCCTTGAGATTAACAATCTCATTCATGCTTAGACCTATAATAAACATATCATTTACATACAACAAAAGTATGAGATATAACGTACCAAGTTTCTTAATATAACAACAATGGTCTCCATGACATCTACTAAACCCCATAGTTGCCATAAAGGTATCAAACTTTTTATACCATTGCCTCGGAGCCTGTTTCAACCCATACAGACTCTTCCTCAACTTATACACTTGATTCTCCTTGTCTTTCACAACATAACCCTCTGGTTGATACATATAAATGTCCTTCTCCAAATTCCCATAAAGAAAATCAGTTTTAACATCCAACTGCTCTAAATGCAGGTTTTCAATAGCCACAATATTAAGGACGCATCTGATAGTAGAAATCTTAACAATAGGAGAAAAGATTTCAGTATAGTCTATACCTTGTTTCTGCTGAAAATCTTTGACTACCAACCTTGCCTCATACTGTTTGCTCCCATCAGATTCTTCCTTAATCTTGTAAACCCACTTGTTGCGCAAAGCTCTCCTCCCCTTGGGTAATTAAACCAATTTCCAAGTCTGATTTGATGAGAGAGAATCCATCTCATCATCCATCGCAAGCTCCCATTCCTTTTTGGACTCAACTTGTAACGCTTTCTCAAAATATTTTGGTTCACCGCTATCAGTTAACAACAGATAATGCAAAGATGAAAAATAAAATGCTGGAGGTTATACCGTACGTGTAGTCCTTCTAGGAAGAAGAGTCTGAAGATTTACCAGTGGAGTAGATTGTGTATTAGTATCCTAAGACTTTAAGATATTTCTGTTAGGGATCCCCTTAAACTCTACAATGTCTGATTTTACCTCAGTTTCCTTGGTTGACTTAGTCTGTTTCTATATAAACTGACTCATTAAATACCACATCAATACTCTTGCGTGTTTTTCGATTCTCAAACTTATACAGTCTATACCCATA